AAATTCAAGGCATTAATGTTTGCCTACAAAACCACCACTGGCTCTGCACCCATTTATTTAAATTCATTACTTCAGAGTTATGTGCCTCTAGAAGCTTGCGTTCTGCTAGTGAACGGCGCTTTATTGTGCCATCTCAAAGAGGCACAAAATCACTTTTTCATTAACTGTTCTCTCCTGGTGGAATGACCTGCCCAAATCAATCCGAGCAGCTGAGTCCTTAACCATCTTCAAGAAACGACTAAAAACACATTTATTTGACCCTCTAACTCTAGCACTTTCTGTTCTAATTCTATTCTTTAAAATGCCCCTTTTAGACTTGCACTCTGTTCATTTACTGCTTGTTTTCTTAAAAAAAAAACTAACACTTGCTTCTGTAATCTTTTTGTATTCTATCTATTTGTTTTCTTTTTATTTATTATATGATTTTAAAAGACCTTGCTACGTGTACTGTTTTAAGCTAACTGAGACTTGTTATAGCACTTGCATATCTTTGCTCTCTTGTTGAGTTTGATTGCTTCCATTGTCCTCATTTGTAATTCACTTTGGATAAAAGCGTCTGCTAAATGTCTAAATGTAAATGTAATGTAAATATATATATATATATATGTGTACATTTTCCAAACAAGGACATACCAGTTGTCATTGTCCACAAATGGAAGTTTTGTCAGATTTAACTCATTCCTGTGAACAAATCTAGTTCAGTATCTCCATTCACACCCCTCAATCACATCACATTCACAGACTGGCGTGACATTCTGACCGGCGTGTGCCGAGTCAACAAACACAGAGACGAAATGAGACTGTGTTAGAGACGTTTATAATCCAAAAACTTCAACAGGCTGTTTTTATTACTCTACCTTTAAGACCTCAGTATGCAGAGTTGTCATGTATCTGAGCTGTTTTGATTGGCTGAGATGAGTTAGGGTTAGATCTCATTGCCTAGCTGAAGTCTCACCATGGCTGTCTTGTATAGGAACCGATCACACACACACAAACACACACACACACTCTTTACCTGCGTTTGGCTCGATGCCGTAATCGCAGTGCACTGAGTGCTAAACCAAACGTCCTGCTGGAATGAGAGTGACTATGATCCATAATGATGGAGGGATGTTTGCTCTTCTGCTTCCTGAACAGTCTGTCTCTCCCTCTGTGTCTCTGAGAAGCGTTCAGGGAACGAGAGCGACGCCAGGAATCTCATGACCAATTCACACGCAGTCCAGAACTCACACTCACACACAACAAATCTTCTTCTCATTTCAGCAGTTCCACGTGTGTCAGTGGATGTTTTTCAGTGGCAGACGCTGATGTCTACAGAGCAGAGATGTCAATATAATGCTGATAT